CTCTATGATTCCATTGAGAGAGGACCCTTGGAAGGTTGTGCCTGGATTCCCCTGGACTTTGCCCATGTACCTTTTCTCTTTGATGGTTTTGCTTTGTAACCTTTTGCTGTAACAACTCATAACCACAAGTGTGATTATATGCTGAGTCCTGTGAGTCTTCCTAGGAAATCACTGAACTTAGAGATAGTCTTGGGGGACCCCCAACACATTATATGAAAATGTTTTGTTTAGGGTAAAGAGCATAGACTTTGGAGGTTAGAATCCCAATTATATCAGTTACTATGTGTGTGGTGCTGGAAATATCACTTAACATCTCTTAAGCCCAGTTGTCTAACCTGTAAAATAGGACTACTATCTATGCTTTAGGGTTGAATGAAAATTAAATGAGAGAATATTTTCTGAAATGTCTGCACAAGGTCTGGCATGGAACAGAACATTAATAATTGTTAATTCCTCTCACTGAAAGCTGGAAAAGGCTGTAAAAACTGAAGAGGTCCTGAAATCAGCCATAAAAATTTCAAAGAAAACTTTCACATCGGAGATCCACCACCTCTTGGAAGGCTCAGGCCCAACTGTTGTTAAAACTAGGCAGAAAATTCTACCAACAAAAGTCACTGAAAACTTCTTGGATGTTTGGTCACATTTCCATGTAACCCTAGCTGAAAGGATTTTGCTTTGTGGAAAAAAGTAATGTGGAGAGAAGAGAGAATATGCTTCCTTAGAGGAAAGTAGGTGTGAAAGTGAGATGGTGTGGTGTCATCCTACACACCAGGGGTATGTCTAGTTGGTGAGCTGTGCTATTCTTTCCCAGCACAAGGTCTACACATCTTAAGGCTTCACGTCTTGAATGCACCATGTGCCATGTCTGTGTCCTCACATTACCTCACTTAATTCTTTATTTTTAAATTTTCATTTTTTATAGAGATGGGGCGGCCTCTCTATGTTGTCCAGGCTGGTCTTGAACTCCTGGGCCCAAGCGATCCTCTTGCCTTGGCCTCCCAAAGAGTTGAGATTATAGGCATGAGCCACCGCACCTGGCCTTCACTTTATTCTTACAACCAGCACGAAGGTGGTTATTATTATCTGCCTTTTACAGGTAAAAGAACCAGTTTAGTGTGGTTATGTGACTTGCCCAAGGCCCCCCTAATAGTTGGTTCTTTGTATTATATCATCATGCTGTCTCCCTGTCATGATTGCCAAGGCTCAGAACACATTTTTACTGCATTTTACTAAGGGGACTGCAATAAACAGTGGATTTTCTTCCAAGGAAGAGTCTGTTATAATGCAACTGGCAAAGTGCAAGTCACTGTCATATTAAGAATGAAGAATGTGTCTAAAAACTTATTTTTTAAAAGGCTAGAGACAGGTCAAAAGTAGTGACTTTTGGGACATGGATTAAAGAAGTTTAGCCATTACCAACTCAAACGGCATGGCCCTCTGCCAGTTACCAAGTATTTTCATTATCACTTTTGATCTTATCATCACAATTTATCTGTGAGGACACATGACATTATCGTCACTTGAAAGATGAAGTAGCTGAAATACAGAAAAGAGAAATGATGTACTCAGAGCACCTCAGCTAATAGGTGGAAGTGCCAGTATTAGAACAAAGATCTGTCTGACTCCAAGTATAGAGAGGACAGGAGAATCTATGGGCCATTTACCAAATACTTAGTCTAGGTATTGGTAACCTTTACATCCAACCATCTCTCCAATCTTCCCCTGCCTGGTGGTATTTCTATCATCTCATTTTAAAGACTACAACATCCTTAATTATTCTTATGGCTTCAGTCTTTATTCCATTGTCAATTCATCTTTCCAGGTTACTAGTGAGATATAACAGAAAGAATCACTACGGTCACATTTAAGTGCCAGCTCTGCCACTGCTTAGCTATGTGATCTTGGTTAAAACACTTAATTTACAGTTTCAGTTTTGAAGCTATAAAATGGAGATAATATCTGTCTGGTATAAAAGGTTTTGGACATGAGTTTGAAATCTGCTTCTTTGAGCTTTTGATTTCTTAACCATAAAGTAAGGATACCCCAATCTCATAGGGTTGTTGTAAGAATTCAATTACATGATACCTGTAAAGTGCCTAGCACTTTAACATATAATGGGAACATATAAGGGGAACTCAATAAATAGAAGACAGCATTATTATTATTTCACAGGCTGTTTGTTCATTTGCATCATTCATTCATTCATTCAGCAGGTATTTACTGAGCATCAGTTAAGTTTCAGGTACTGACCTAGGTGCCAGGATTAGTTAACAAATAAAGTTCTTGCCCTCTAAGAGCTTTTATTCTAGTAGCAGGGAGACAATAAACAACTATATACCTATTATGTCAGAGAGTGAACAGTTCAGTGGAGAAAAAGAGAGCAGGATAAGAGAAATAGGGGTTGTCAGTCTGGCAGGGTGGGGAAGGTAGGGCAGAGAGGGGAGGGAAGGAAGACTATTACTTTATATGGGTTGGTCAGCAAAAGCCTCAAAAAAGGCAGTATTTGAGCAGATACCTGAAGGAAGTGAGGGCATAAGCACTATCTAGAGGAAGACTATTTCAGTAGAAGAAAGTGCAAATGCAAGGCCCTGAAGTAGGAACATGTTTCATGGTGTTGTACAAATAGCAAAGATGCCAAGGTAAATGGAAATGACTGAGTGGGAGAGGGGTCAGAGAAATGCCAGCAAGTTAGATCAATAAAGGCCTTTCATTCTGAACTGATGGGGAGCTATTACAGGGTTCGAAAAGAGAAGTGACATAATTTGCCTTATTAAAAAAATATCATTGTCTTTTTTGAAAACAAGATTGAAGGGGTTCACAGATGGAAGCAGAGGCCAGTAGGACATCATTATAATAATTTGGATAACAGATTATAGTGGCTTGGGCTAGGGTTCAGTTGTAGAGGTACTGAGAAGTAGATTCTGGGTATACTTTGAAAGTAAAACCAACAGATTTTGCTATGAGTTGGATGGAGAAAGGAGAGAAAGAGGAGTCAAGGATAACTCTTGAGGTTTCTTGCCTGAACAAAAAGAATGAAGCTGCCATTTAATCAGATAAGGAAGACTATGGGAGGAGCAGGTTTTGGGGGAGAGTAGGAATCAGGAATTCAGTTTTGACTATGTTTCATGTGAGACGCCTACTGGATGCAAAGTGGAGATACTGAGTAGACAGCTGTATGTAGAAATGTTTGGAGTTAGAGAGAGAATTTAGACTGGATATATATATTTGTGAGTTGTAACTGTGTATATTACGTTTATTGCCACAAGACTAGATGAGAGCAATTAGATAATGCCAGTAGAAAGAGATCAAAGGACTGACATGTATTGAGCATCTGCTGTGTGCCAGGTAATGTAAATCTGTAAATTATGGAATAATGTATGTGTTATTATTCTTACTGTGATGATAATAATGGATGACTATATCATTCTGTTACTCAATAAATAAAGCCAAGCTCCTTCTCCTGGTATTCCAGGTTTTATATATCCTATCCCCAAACCTCCTTCAGCCTTTTCTCAGGACTTTGTTAGACAAAGCCCCCTCGTTTCAGCCAGTCTGGTCATGGCTTTGTGCTTTTCAACATTAGCCCTTTTACCTCAAGCTGTCCTCGCTGCTGGAGAATGTTTTCCTCTTAGCAACCTACCAAAAAATCCTATCTACCTCAGTTTTGTTCAACTGCTATCTCTTTTACACAACCTCTCTTGGTTACCCACGCCAGCAGGGATCTATTGCCCCTTTTGCTTGACTATTCTTTGGATCCACTGCATGAACTGCAGTATGAGGACTGTTTGTATGAGAGGCTGAAATGTTCTTAAATGTGGGACCATGCCTTATTCCTTGGCACTAAGCAGAGAGGCTGGCAAAATAAAACTGTATTGGATAAACAGGGTGTGGAATACAACTAAGCGTATATTTTACCAGCATCTAGCAGTGACCCAGAAATAGGAATTACAAGGTGAAATGAAGAAATCAGAGATGATAAAATCTTTCAAAATATGTAACGCCGAGCTTTATTTACACATTGAAAATATTTTTCTTTTTTTTTCTATTTGAGACAAAGTCTCACTCTCTCACCAGGCTGGAGTGCAGTGGTGCGATCTCAGCTCACTGCAACCTTTACCCTCCGAGTTCAAGCGATTCTCCTGCCTCAGCCTCCTGAATAGCTGGGATTACAGGCACCTGCCACCGTGCCCGGCTAATTTTTTGTATTTTTAGTAGAGACGAGATTTCACCATCTTGCCCAGGCTGGTCTTGAACTCCTGACCTCGTGATCCACCTGCCTTGGCTTCCCAAAGTGCTGGGATTACAGGTGTGAGCCACCATGCCTGGCCTAAGTTTTGTATTTTTTAGTAGAGGCAGGGTTTCACCACGTTGGCCAGGCTGGTCTTGAACTCCTGACCTCAAGTGATCCGCCTGCCTCAGCCTTCCAAAGTGTTGGGATTACAGGCGTGAGCACTCGGCCAACAATTAAAATTTAAAAAATTTAAAACTTACAATTTAGAAAATGAATTTCTTAAACAAAATGAATAACCTAAAGAAATATAAACTGCCCTTGCTAGTATTTTTCCCTTTAATTAGGTTGCTGTTGTGTCAGATTAGAGTTTCATATACAGACCTATTTAAGCAGCACCTGTATTAGTCTCTTAAATCTTTCGCTGTTTACTTTTTTTTGAATGTTGTAAATATTTTGTAAACAGTTTTTACCAAATGACTTCTACCTAAAAATTCAGGAGTCCTGTCGAATAATCCAGGATAATTTTTCTTCACAACATAACTTCTGAAAATAAGGCAATCAAGAGGCCTGGGCTGCAGTCCTCAGTGGTCATTAATTAACTGAATGTACACTCTCAAGCAAGTAACTTCACCTCAAGACCTCATATTCACCATTGCTGAATGATACTAACACCACACCTGTCTTGGTATCTCCCAAAGCTGACAGAAGAGGAGTGGGATAATTCTGTAAATGTATTTTGTACCTTAGTGAGGTCTCTTGTTTCTTTCAGTCAAGCAGTTTATTGTGGTTTAATGGTGAGATGCATGTGGCGAGGAGGTAATCAGAAGAAGTGAGAACTGACCAGGAAAAGGAGATGGTGTGAAACTTTGAAGATTTTGTATGCCATGGTAAGGAGTTTGGACTTTTTCTGTAGGCCATTAGAACCACTGGAGGCTTTTAAGCAGGAGAGAGAGAGAGATCATCAAAGTCGTTTAAAAAAATAACTCAAGAGACAGTGGGGAGGATAGATGTGGGGAGGCAAAACCGGAGGCAGGGAGATGAATTAGGAAGCCATAGGTTTAACTTGGGCTATGACGACTTGGGCAGTGGTATAGAGGGAAAGAGAAGAAAAGAACAGATTTGAGAGAAGTTTAGAGACAAAATTAATATTGCAATCGTCTAGATACTAATGTGTTCCATTACACGATCATAGTTCTTTTTATCTGAATCTTGATTATTTAGGGATACTGAACATTTCCAAATAACCAGATATAGTGATATAAAATACCTGAGGGGAATGGAACAAGCTCAGCAGTAGGACCTTTAACATCAGATGCTTCATCTTGGTTTATTTTGAGAACAAAGCTTTTAAGATACAGTCGTTCAATGGCATTAAAGTTTTTTCTTCTGGCTCTTGTTTTTTAAAAAAATAAAAGTCTAATATAAATTGAAAATCAATCCAACTGCAATATTAGAGGTATTACCATATGAAGGTTATTGAAGTACAAAATATTTTAAAATACTGGTGCTTGCAGCTGTAATTTATTGCATTTATTAGGTGGTCTCTAATGTTGATTTTTCTAGTTCTATGACTCTAATTTTAAAGTGGAACTCTATAATTTATTAAGTTTTTTAAAAGGACTCAATAATCTCAAAAAGCAATGATCATAAGAAAACTTGGATGTCACCATCAGCTCTGTTTTTATAACTGTTCAAGTGACTTAAGTGCTTAATTTTACTAGGCTTTCATTCTCCCACCAGTAATGTGGCAGCATTGGCCTTCATATCTCTGAGATCCGTTGCAAATATCAGATATTTGCAAGATTTCAATGATATATTCTTAAACCTGGGTTACAGCCAGATACTTGTAACTCAAATTTGATATCCATCACTGTTCTAGAGAAAGAATTCACTGCTGCCACGTTTTCTTTAACTGTAAGCCCTTCCCACCTCTTCTGCCTCTCTCTATTTAGGATTATTATAGCAGATACTGTTTTATGTGCTATGAATATAGTAATTTATATTCACTTTATATAACTCTTACCATGACCATCTCAGATATTATCATTTCTCTTTCAAAGATGAAGAAATGAAAGTTCGGCAGGGTCAAGTAAGTTGTCCAGTGTTCAGTATGATGGAGTGGGATGCACATGCAAGACTAACTACGACTGAAACATTTACTTCTGACTTTGCTATTCTGCTTCCACTCACTGAACATCTCTCTGTGCAAGGATCAGGTAAAATTCACTTCCTTTGTAATACTTTCCCTTATCACTGCTGGCTGAAATTACTTATCCTTCTAACTGTGGGTGTAATTTGTAATGCAATTTGCTTTAGATGTGTGTTTTTACTATAATGTGAACTCTTCAAGGTCAGCAACAATTTTTTTTAAATTTCTGTATCACCAGCATCTGGTATGAAGGCTGAAACAGAGAGGTTGCACAGCAAATGTTTTGCTATAATGAGAGAACAAATACATGAATTAAATGCGAATTAAATTTCTTCTATCTCCTTATGGTGGCAAATAGTATCCACGTGTTATGGATGAAGTCAAGTCAAACTTCATCTAGCTGTAGCTTCTGGATTCAGACTGTAAATTCTACAAGGGTTAGATCTATGCCATTATTTTTCTTCACTGTGTTTGTAGTGTTTAGCTTGGTGCTTAGCATAATAAAAGTGGATGGGTGACAGAGAAAGGAATTTGTATACCCCAAATTTGAAAGGCTTTTCCCCCAGTACATTTAAACAAAACCTTACTGAAGGTCTACTCTAGAAAAACGCTGCTGGAGCTTGTTTACACTCATTCTCCTGTTCATTTAAGTCTTAGAGGGAGAAACAAAAATTACGAGTTATAGTTACAGAGAAAAAAACCTAGAAAGCTGGGGCAAAATATAAATTCCCTCATTACTTTGTTTTAGATATATAAGAAAACAGTTTATTCCTGAATGCATGTCTGTCTGTTTGGGGATTCATATCTATAGATCTAGAAAAAGGCATGTTCTCTAGGCTAGAACGGGGGCTGTGTGATTATATCAGTGGCAATACACATGGGCTATCAGTGGACTCTTAGAGCTCACTTGCCATTCTTCATCCTCCTTTCCTAGTGCTTTCCAGTCATTTTATAAATTGAAAGATCTCACTTTCCAATCGTAGATAGAGCTCCTCTGAGGGATGTGGATATGGGTAGGCAAAAAATAGAAAAAGAGGAGGCAGAAAGAAGAGTTGTGGGATAAAGAAATAAGGAGAAGGGAAGAATGGAAAGATGGGGGAGAAGATAAAACAGGTAAAATAGGATTGGAAAAAAGGGAAGGGGTAGAAAAGGAAGGAGGAGAGAAAAGGGAAGATAAGGAAGTGGCACAGAAGAGGAAGGCTGGGGGATACTGACAACCTCTTACCAAGTGGCATGAGTGATAATCAGCTTTTCTGGGAAGGGCCTATGTCTGGGCTACTGTAGGTCTGGAGGGGAGCTGGGGGAGCTGGCAGCAGTCCCTTACTCTAACTCAGAGACAGGAGTTGGCCTATAGGAGGAGTAGTAGGGTGAATATCATTATACAGCTTTTAGGACTCAACTACCTCATTTCCAAGGCAATGCCCAAGTAAGGCAAATGGACCACTGATGTTCACACGGCTCTAACATGTCCAAGAGGTAGAGCTCTGGAAATAAATACTACTCCTTCTCTTGGTAACTGTTATTAGCAAAATTGGGGAAAACACACACACACACACACACACACACACACCCCAAAACCAAGTAACTCATTGCTTCCACAACTTGAATCAGCGTTTCTGGGGAAGGCCTATGTCTGCGGCTATTTTGGTTGTCCTACAGTGTTCAGTTCAGGGAAGTATGCTCAGCAGACATTTACTAAATGGTTAGACAGCTGAGAAATCTTAACATGAAGTATTGTTTTGGTTGGGGGTGGGTGGCAGGCATGGGAGGTACAGAAGAACACTTAACTGGTTCCTCTGCTGAGAAACCAGTCTCTGCTTTGTGGAGAAAAGGCTGAAGACACAATTAAGACTCCTAGAGTTAAGGCTTATATTATTTGTTATTAAAAAGGCAAGGCCTTAAGATGTGCTTTTTAACAGTCTTTAGTTTGGCTGTAATTTAAGATGACTTTTACAAATTAGATCCTAATCCTAGGACACACAGATGGCTGTTACAGAATAGCCTTGCAAAAACACTAGTCATTTGACTTGAAAGAGAATTCAGAGAAGAATGAAGGGCCTTTAACTCTCACCCCACCCCTGGCTCTAGGAGGCCTAAAGAGTCTTGGGTGGGCTTTCTTAGTTTAAGTCTGGAATCTGGGTGGGCCTAGAGCATCTGTTCTCATTTGGACCAGCCTCTCTGTTCATTCTGGAACCAGAGATTAGGGGAGTCCGAGCTTATTAACATTCAACAACAGTTACTGATGCTTATGTATGAAGCACTATGCTGGCAACTGCAGGGAGATAGTCACAGGCCCAAGAACACTCTGCATTTCACATCACATCTCCCCAGTTTCCTTTCAACAGCAACTTTCCACAGTTCAGAGTTTCACCCCGTGGAAAGAGGTTCTTAATAGTGATCAAAAAGCCTAGCTTCTTTTAAGATATTTTCACCCCATCCCTGTCAGTAATAAGCTTTAAAAATTAATTTGAAAGAAAAAGTTTAATTTTAAAATGCAGAAAGTCTATTTCTTCCAGTACTTCCATTTTTAAAGACGAGACCCATTCAGAAAGGGAGTGACTTAAAACTAAGGGTTGGGAAGGGCAAACTTAGCTCCTAAGTTTTTTAAGTTCTCTGAGGTGAGATTTTCATCACAGAACATAAAGTATGAGAACCAGGCTGATCTTGAACCCTTTGATATTGGTTCTTTGTTAAATGTTCACACACTGAGAGTTCAACTTCAGTGACAGAAGTTAAGGTAGTTTTCATACTTGGCTGTGTGGTAAGAACATATGCAGGCCTGTGTTCCCTTGTGCATGTTTGTGTGCCTTATATACAAATAAAGGGAATGACCTTGGAGCAGGAGGCAGGACCAGTGAAAAAGGAACAATAGTCAGCACCTGGGTTCCACTACAGTCTCCTGGGCTTAGAAATAAGTGGCAAGATCCTCATTCCACCCAGAGGGGATATTACTAGTTTCTCTCTCTATCCTGTAAACCTGACAGCCAATGTGAGAGACTCAGATGTGCCTTAATGAAATTCTTGGTTTTTGTATGCTAGGTTACTATGCCTAGATCATAATGGAATCACAGAATATTTACTGTATATTTTAGAGCTAAGGAAGTCTAAGTCCCATCCCATATCAAGCAGGAATACCAGGGATGAATCCCTCTCCATATATATCTGTTATTCCTGAAAAGAGTAGTACTTGGTAATCTCCAATGATAGGAAAATTAACACTTCACGACACAACATATTCCTTTCTTATAAAATGCTTTGTTACACTATGCCAAATTTTGTCTCATGTAACTTTCAACTCATTGGTCCCAGTTCTGCCCCTGGAGCCTCAAAAAATCAGATCCCTCTTTTACAAGGCATGCCTTCAAGTAGCTGAAGACAACAATCACATCTCCCATGGTCCTTCCTTCTTTAGAGGTAATGTTCCTTAAATGACACGATTTGCAGCTCCCTCACTTTCCTACCAGCCCTGCTCCTATTTCTTCAGGCTTCGTTTTTCAGCGTGAAGCCTAAAGACTATTTCAGGGGTAGGTTTTTTTTTTTTTTTAATTTTTTATTTCCATAGGTTTTTGGGGAACAGGTGGTATTTTGTTACATGAGTAAGTTCTTTAGTGGTGATCTGTGAGATTTTGGTGCACCCATTACCCAGGGGTAGTTTATCTTAGTGCAGAGTTAAACAGGACCATTAAGTTAACCTCTGGTTGGGATGACACCTCTAAAACAGGAGCTAGCTTTTTTGTTGGCAGCCACAACATGTTATTAATGTGTATTCAGCTTAATTCAACCATAACCTCTACTAAAGGAATCTATTTCTACACGTTTCTGTAAAATTTCTGCAGCTTCATTTTGTGTAAGTTTCAGTATTTTAAGATTTTCTTGAATCTTATTTTTCATAACCTATAAATCTGATAAAGTCTTCATGTAGGTTGCTAATAAATATGGTAAGTAATAAAAGATTAAATACAGAGCCTCTTGGTTCCCTACAAGGAAATGGTGGTTAACATTTTTTGGATGCAACCATTTAATCAGCAATGAATCTAACACATCTATATCTCTTTACTTTGCCCCAGAATACTATGAGAGACTATCAAATATTGTGCTGTAATGCAAGCACACAGTGAATACAGGTCACCCTCTGTAACCTCCCAGGGTATAGTAAGACTATCAAATCACAAAATACTTTCTGTTTTGCATGAGTCATTCTTAGTGAACCTATATTCGTTGACCCTGATATCTAACTGTTAAGCTGTTAAACTTACAATTCTCAGGTATATTCTAAGGTCTACAGAATATATCTCATTTGAGGAATACAGATGAGACCTCGGCAAAGACTGGAATGATGGAATAGGGAAAACAGGTAGGAAGGAAGATCTGTACCTAATTTCTTACATAGGCTACTGGGTACACATGTCTGCTGGCCTGGGAAGCCATACTTTCTCCAAAGGCTAAGGACAGAGTGATGTGCAGAACAAAGAAGGACTTCTGGATGTCTGGTAGTTGCCTGCACCATAGGACTTTTCTTGAACTACTTTGTTCAGCTTTAATGATGGCACATCTCCCACTGGGATATACTTCCTGCTATAGGTATGGGAACTTACATCTCTCCTAGGAAAGGTGCTCAGTAACTTGTACTCATCCCATGGAAATCCTTTGGAAGCTACAAAATCAAAGACAATCTGGAGCTTGCTGCTGGCCAGGAAACGCCGCTCCAAGAACTCGCCACTGGGGGTCCGGATCCGCAGTTTGCTCACAGGCTCAGCATTTTCTTCCTTTGGCTCAGGAGGCAGGGCTTGCTCTAAGGACAGCCGGATGGCCTAGGGAGAGCAAAAACCAGGTGTTAAAATGTGGGAAGGACTGGACTATGGAGAGTGGGGAGGAAGAGACCAGAGAAAAAGCTGCTGCTTTCTAGAAATTCATAGAAAAGTCACTGCCCCATTTATTAGCCAAGCCTAATGCTTGAAAAATAGAATCATGTATTTTTCATTTTCTTAATATTAGCCCAATAGGCAAGTAATTAAAATAAATTCCACCTTAATGACCATATTATTAAATATATAGGAAACTACACAGAAAAAGCATTTTTTTTAACTGAAGGGCTCAGATATTTGTGATCAAAGACATTCATATCAAATACCCAATTGATACCTTTCTAGGGTATGAATTAAAGCTATTAGATGCATTCAGAAAAGACACACACACACAGAAATATATTTATATGAGAAATACATTTTTCAAGTAGACGTAACTGCAGAGTTTGTAGAATACTGGATTATTATGTTTATGTCAAAATGGAATGGGGAAATTCTGTTTAGGGTGATGAAAACATTTTGGAAATAGTGGTGGTGGTTGGATAATACTGTGAATACAATTAATGCCACTGAATTGTATACTTAAGAATGGCAAGTTAGTGTACATATATTTTGCCACAATTAAAGAAAAGTTTTAAAACATGGAAAGAACTTCAAATATCGGGTTTATTGGTAGAAGAAGACCACAGTCCTAGTTCTGGCTTTGCCACTAACTCGCTTTGGGATTTGGCCAAATCTTAGTCATTGATTTCTGGACCTACAGATGGACCAAACCCTTCATTTGACTTAAGCAGGTGAAGTAAACTGCTGGAAGGCCTCATGGCTAGTGTGGGCTTGAATCCAGGTTTTAGTATTACATTGTTTCGCATTTGTGACATTCCATTAGGAGATGGTCTCTGAGGTCCCTAATAACATTGGAA